GAGAGAGGGAAAGAGAGAGAAGGGGGAGAGGGAGGAAAAGAGGGAGAGAGGGAAAGAGAGAGAGAGAGAGAGAGAGAGAGAGAGAGAGCATTCATTGTGCGCCGCCTGTGTGCTCAGGAAACCGGAGGGCAGAGGTGAATGTCGGGCGCCTGGCTCTGCTGCTGCCCTCCGTATTGGGACAGGATCTCTAACTGAACGTGGAGCTGGATAATATACTGGCCGCCCATCAAGCTCGGAGGACCCCCCTGCTGCCGTCTGCTCCACACCGGGATGGCTGGCACGTGCTGCCACGCCCAGCTGGAGACCCGAACTCAGATTCTCACGCTTGCGCCATTTCCTTTAAGGCAGGTTCTAACCCGGCTGGCTTTGAACTTGAACCCTCTTGCCTCTGCTAGTTGAGTGCTGGGATTACTGGCATATGCTACCACCCCGAGCCAGAGATGGGTTAGTTGTTTTGTTGTTTTGAGATGGCCCTGGCAGAACTGGTACTCACAGAGATCAACCCACCTCTGCCTCTAGAGTACTGGGATTAAAAGTGTGCACCACCACACCCAACCAGAGCTGTTTTCCTAAAGGAAAACATTTCAAATAAAATAGTTGACTATCCTTTTACATGTTAAAGCCCTCCTTAGCCCTCTTGCTGTTAATGCTCTTCTCCCCCTAAAGGGACAATAATGTTGAAAAATTAGTGAATGGGTACTCTAAACTTGAGATTGTAATGTTGGTCCTTACTCCACAACTCAAATAAAATAAAATAAAATCATTCTTTTTGTCCTAGTAAGGGCCAGTCTAGGACTTTAGACCAAGAAAATTGTCCAACAAGTTAATGAAATCCTGCTGTATAAATGGATGGATGGATGTCTCTATGTTTACATCAGATTTCAGAAAATAGTACACCCTAGTGGTCAGCAAGATGAACATTAAAGCTTGGAAGCAACTGAAATTATAAATAAACGCTCATATATAAATTTTATATCTTGGACCAGCAAGATGGCTAAGTAGGAAAAGGTACCTGCCCCCAAGCCTGAGGACCTGAGTTCAATCCCCAACCCACTTGGTAGAGAGACCCGACTCCAGCAATCTGTCTTCTGACTTCCACATGCTCGCTCTAACATAAATGTGCCCACAGATAGACAAACACATGCACAAATTCAGTAATGTTATGTTACATGCTAAGGGGGGAATAAACTGTTGTTACTGACACTGCAGAATCTATGAAACAACGTCCAGTTAACTCTCATTTCCAAATCTCCATTCACTTCTGAGTCACCAAAGCACCAAAATGGTTTTACCATCAGGGGCTCCTTCAGTTAGAGAGATGATGGCACCCTGGAAGCATCAGGGGCTCCTTCAGTTAGCGACATGGCACCCTGGAAGCACCCCTATCTGTACCTCATCAAATCTCCACCTCCTCTCCGGCTCACAATCATTTTAATTACAATATTACCAACAGGGTTAGAGTGGTGACTCAGCAGTTTAGAACGTTGGCTTGTCTTTCAGAGGACCCAGGTTCAAGTCCCAGTACCCAGTTCTAGGTAGACCGATGCCCTTTTCTGGCTAGACAGGGACATGGTGTACATGCAGACAAAGTACTGACACATATAAAATAAATCTGAAAAGGAATACTGTGACCGCGACAGATGCTATTGGATCTTCTGTTAATCTCCTAAACCCAATCACTGCCCTTTCCGCACAGTCTGTAAATTCCAGCAAGTGGGATGGGGATCGAGTTAAGAGGGGAGATTGTGTTTAGGCTGAAGGTGGAAGACTCTGGTGGGGGTCCTGGGTCTCTCCTCATCCGATCTAGCTATACTCTTAGCCTCTGGAGTAGAAGCGTCAGGATATGACGTGGTTGTCTGAGACAGAAGTCAAAACAGTGGGGCCAGATCTGAAAAGATAGTTTTAAAAAATTACAGCCTAGGCGCTGGAGAGATGGCTCAGTGGATAAGAGTGCTGTTGTGTAGCGGGACCTTTCCCTAACCCTGGTCCAGGGAGTTCAGTACCTTCTTCTGACTTCCGTATCATGAGGCACACGTGGTGCACACACATGCATGCAGGAAAGACACTCATGCACGTAAAGTAAACCTTAAAAAAAAAAAAGCATATCAGGACTGGAGAGGTGGCTCACTTCAATCTCTACCTCCAGAAAATCCTAACAGCACCTGCTCTCATCTGCTCACACCCACACACAGACACAACACAAATATAACTTTAAAAAGTGTGTGTGTGGGGGGGGATCTGCATAAGACCAAACTAAACTCCCTTAACATAGGTGACAGTGGTGTGACTGGGACAATACATGAGGCCACTGGCAGTGGGTCCAAGATCTAACTCTAATGCACAAATTGACTAAGTGGAGCCCATTCTGTATGGAGAGATAGCTTGCCCAGCCTAGACACAGGGGTGTGGGGGTGGAGAGGGGCCTTGGTCCTGCCTCAACGAGATCAATGAGATGATGGGACAGACTTAGTAGACTTCCTAGGGGAGGCCTCACCCTCTCCATGGAGAAGATGGGAGGAGGGAGAGTGGAGGGAGTAGGAGGAAAGGAAGGAGGGGGAACTGGGATTGTAATGTAAAAAATAAATTAATTTTAAAAAGAGAAAAAGAACAGAAAAAAAGGGGGGTTACAACATGTCTTTTTAAGGATTCTAGAAATATGACTAGCAGGAGTCAGTGTCTCCACCTAGACAGCACTTTAAACTCTTTGGAACTCTCTGGAGTGTGCCAAAGACTTTAAATCATTAGCCCAAAAGAGTGACTCTGCTTTCAAGGGAAATGAAATACTTTCTTCTGAAACAAATATGAGTGACCAAAACCCAAGAATACCTATTCAAAGGTTACATGATCTTTTTTTTGTTTCTGTACCCATAGAGCAAACAAGTTCTACGTTATTCAGTAACTATAAGGATGCAGGGAGCAGGGCATTACATAGACAAGTTATAGGAGCGAGGGACACCCACCAGCCACCAGAAGGAAACGATACCTTACCTCATTCTTAGAAGATTGTCTACCTCAGTGGTCTACTCTTCTACCTACTTCCCTGCAAGTGTTAGGTCAGGAGAGACACTTGTTTCTGAAGGTTCTGGAGCAGCCCTTGCCCCAGCCTCCCAGTGCCTGAGGCGGCAGATGGGTCTGTGCTTTAATTCCTTTTGGAGGAAGATGCTGTCTAAACATGGTCCTTCTTGGAATGTGGTCTATTGTCATAGTTTCTTTGGAAGTTTCTAGTTCACACAATTAAGACTATAAGAGACAGGCATTATATATTAGTAAAGGTTCTATATAGCAATTATAAAGGCCCGCACACCTCATGTTTAAATTGTGTACGAAATCTGTCCATCCTTCCTAGGGTGGGGATCTTCCCTTTGTCCAGGATATACAAATAACCAATAAAGTAGTACGGAGATTGTGTCCAAGCAACCCTCTTATTTACCTAATAATGGCCCAAGTCCTCAACCACACTGTAATTACTCTGTATTGTATTAATTTTTATTATCTTCTTATGTCTGTTTTATTAAGCTATCATAACTGTAATTATGTAGGAAAATGTCTGGATAGAGCTGGGCTCTCACTGCAGTTTGAGGCATCCACTGGGGGCCTTGGCTACAGTGCCCACATTTCAGAGGAAACTGCTGTATACTTTGCTCTGTGTGAATAAATTCTGTCCTGGGCTTAGTGTTTAAGTCCTTAACTGCACTTGGAAAGACCTGGATTCAGTTCCCAGCACCCACTTGGGGTTCAAAACCATCTGTATCTTCAATTGCAGGAGATCTGATGCCCTCTTCTCACTTACATGGAGTACACACACACAAAGTACTCTACATAAAATAGAATACATAAGTCAAATTTAAAATTTTTAAATACTTTTGTTATTCCCTGAAATTAAAATACAGTTACATTGTTTCCCTCTTCCCTTTCCTCGTTCCACCCTCCCATCCATCCATCCATCCATCCATCCATGTACCACCACAGCCACCAATACTCTATCAAATTCAGGGTCTCTTTTTCTGTGTGTGTGTGTGTGTGTCCACCACTACCGCCAACCCCGTCTCTATCAAATTCATGGTCTCTTTTTCTGTGTGTATGTCTGTCTCTGTCTGTTTGTATGTGTTCCTAAACATATAATTAACAACCTTCTCAGTGTGTATAATGTTACTTGTGTGTATATTTTCAGGCTGACCATTTGATATTAAATAATCAATATCAAATGATTGTTGTGCACTTCCTGTGGAAGACTATTCTCTCCTGCTCTTGGCGGTATTCCTTAGTTGCCTATAGGGTTTTGTTTTGTTTTTCTAAGACTGAGGCCTCCTGAGCCTTTGCCCTTCCCCATTAACACATCTGCTGGCAGTGTGCTTGTTTAGATCATGCTAGGCAGCCTTACTGCTGAGACTTCATGGATGTAGCCTTTGACATTTCCAGGACACACAGTCTCACAGCAAACTCCTGTTCTTCTGGCTCTCACTGTCTGCTTCCTCTCCACAGTGATCCCCGAGCCTTAGGTTCACGAGCTGTAGCAGTATCAGTTGGGACTGAGCACCACAACTTTGTGTTTTATCAGTTGTGTTTTTCTGTTATGGTCTCCGTCTGTTGCAAAGACAAGTTTCCTTGATGGTTGATGAGAACAACACTTAACCTGTGGTTATAAGGGCAAACATTTAAAATATAGTTAGGGATTATGCTGGTTTTAGTAAAGTGATGTTTGTAGGCCTGTCTTCGCTAGCCCTGGGCAGTTGGCGAGGTTTCCAGTCCCAGAAATGATTTCTGACTGGCTAAGCAGATCTTAAGTTCAGTTGGTGAACCATTGGTTACCACCAAGGTGTGTGTGCCACCATTGTGCCCTCAGCACTATGGTGCCATAGTATTAGTTGTCATTGTGGTCCTGAGGCATCGTAGCTTAAAAAAAATTTGAAACTCAGTCCTGCTATTGATGTGAAGAATAACAATTTATAATATATTTCACAGCGTATAAATAATCACTTTGTTGCATGTTGGCTTTATAGGTGCGGAAGATCTGGAGCCTCCTGAGGATGTGGATGTCTACATTATAGATGACAACTTTACCCTAAGGTGGAGCAGCAAGAAAGAGTCACTGGGCAGTGTGACCTTTTCAGCAGAATATCAAATGTAGGTGACTGACTGGCTTGCTGGAATGATAGGGATCATTTTTATAATTTCAATACTGTAACTTCTTTTTAATGTGGGAAGCATTTGTTTTTTTCCATTATAGGGAATGTCATGTCCTCACATATTTGTGACTTTATCTCGGTGGAGACTGATCTGAAATGAAGGGCTGGTCGGGTGGCTCAGCAAGTAACAGCACTTGCCACCAAGCTCGATAGACTGAGTAGTGGGTTTCCAGGAGCCACCTGGAAAGGAAGAACGAACTCCTGCAAGTTGTCCTCAGACCTTCACTCATGTGCCTTGATGTGTTCACACACATGCACACATATACAGAATAAATAAAACATTTCTTGAGGGTTAAGGATGAGATTAGTAGACAGCCATCCCTGTATCATATTCATTAAATGTGGGGTAACCGTGTCTGAACTGTCTTTGACACATGGAGAGAACCCAGAAAGCCTGCTGGGTCTTGGAACAGCCCTCAGCCTCTACAGTTCTACCCTCATTCTCGTCATTTATAGAGGCGTCATTGTTTTAAACTTTTCAAGGTTATTTAATTTGGGTGTGTGAATGTGTTGGCTATATGTATGTATGTATGTGTACCATGTGCAGTCCAGAAAAGGACATCAGATTCCCTGGAACTGTAGTTAGGGAAGGTGGTTAGCCGTGTGGATGCTGGGGACCTAACCCAGGTCCTCTGCAAGAGCAGTCAGTGCTGCTAACCCTGAGCCGTCTCTCCAGCCCTCGTATTTTCATTTCAGACACAGTTCATACTCATCAGTATTTTGGACCTACATTCCCATAGACTGGGTGTTTTTGTCGGTGCCTCTTTCTCAGCACTGACTTTCTGCCTCTCATTTGCTAAGAGGATGGGCAGAGAGCCTCAGAAGGCAGGCTTTCAGGAGGGCCCAGCTCAGGAGGCACAGCCCTCCATGTCCTGCACCCTTTGCCCCTGTGTCGATGGAGTCCGCAGTGAAGGTCGGTGTTAGGACTCCAGTGCCGCGTCCGACACTGCGCTCTGGTATTTCCACGTGTTACTGAAACAGTGACCCGAGAGTTTCCCAGCTGTGTCTGTGTACACAGGCACAGTGAGTTTTCATACCGTTTGTTCTTGGCTGAGGTTGGAATTCTTTCATCCAACAGCTGGTTTAGGTATAGTGAGGATGTTACCCCATAATAAAGAGCAGACACCAGGGTCTCACGCAAATAGGATTCTTATCCCAGACTTGGTTCGTGGTGGTCTGTGCCCTCTGTTCTGGGAGGAGCACCACATGTGTGTGGTCCTTACCTGTTGTGCTGGCCTTGTAAGGGTCCCCTTGCAGAATCCTGTGTGACTGACAATGTTGGTGCAGTGTTGAATAGACTGAGCAAATCGGCCTTTAGCCTGTCCTCCACTGCCGTCTGTCTGTCTGTCTGCCTTCCCTGTTTTCAGTGGAGGTGACGGTGAGGAGATTACCACCCAAATCAAGATCGTTCTAAGAGCAAAAGGAAACAGTTTTAAACGAGCTGGGCAACAGATCTCAACTGCAACTTGTCCTGGAACTCTGATGCTGATGATGTGGTGGTGATGATGATGGTGATGATGGTGATGATGGTGATGATGATGATGGTGGTGATGGTGATGATGATGGTGATGGTGATGATGGTGACGATGATGATGGTGATGGTGATGATGATGGTGATGATGATGGTGATGATGGTGATGATGATGATGGTGATGACAATGATAGTGATGACAATGATGGTGATGATGATGACAATGATGGTGGTGATGATGACGATGATGATGATGGTGATGATGACAATGATGATGATGACAATGATGGTGATGATGATGACAATGATGGTGATGATGGGGATGATGATGATGATGGTGATGATGACGATGATGATGATGATGATGATGGTGACAATGATGGTGATGATGATGACAATGATGGTGATGATGATGATGGTGATGATGATGGTGATGATGATGACAATGATGGTGATGATGATGACAATGATGGTGATGATGATGGTGATGATGGTGATGATGATGATGATGGTGATGATGATGGTGATGATGATGATGGTGGTGATGATGGTGGTGATGATGGTGGTGATGATGACGATGGTGATGATGATGATGGTGATGATGATGATGATGACAATGATGGTGATGATGGTGATGATGATGGTGATGATGATGGTGGTGATGATGGTGATGATGATGATGATGGTGGTGATGGTGATGATGAGCTTAACTCTAAAGTTTGTTCTGATAATGGAGTAAGTGATTTTGTATAATGTACCCAGTGGGGCTGGGGTGATGACTCACTGCCCTTCCAGGGGACCCAAGGTAAGTTCCTATCACCCAGGTCAGCCAGCTCACAACTGTCTATAACTCCAGCTCAAGAGGTATCTGTAGGTACCTGTATTCACATGAACATACTCACATAAATAAATTCTTTTAAATGTTTTAAATAAAAAAAAATTTATCTGAATAAAATAAAAGCTGAAGTACCCAGGAGAGTGATAGAAATGATGAACTAATGTGTGAGCAGACTTACTGTGCACAGTATCTGTTTAGTAAACATGTACCTCCCTGAGTAGCCCAAATGCCTCTGTAGGGAGGAACCATAGAGGACATGAAGTTACTTCTTGAGACTAAGCTCATGAATGAGTCTTTTAATTGTAAATGATAAAGTATTTTTAAAGAAAATATAAAGCTAGCTCCCACTGTAAGAAGCTCCCTTGAATGCAGTAGCCATTCACTGACAGGTAAGCCACATCTCCAGGGACATGAAAGGAGACAGAGATAAAGAAATGATGGGTTAAAAGGACAATGGGGCTAATTTAGTAATCATGCAGTCAGTCAGTTTGTCAGTCAGACTGAGTCAAGGTATTGCTTATGCTAGGCCTGCACTGGCCACTGAGCAACACTACCACTAAATTTTTTTTATTTAACTTTTAATATTTTTTTCTTATTTTTGTTTGTTTAAATGTTTGTTTATGGACTCTTACTATATAGCCCAGAATGATTTCAAGCTTACTGTGTAGTCCAGGCTGGCCTCAAAAGTGCAATCCTCCTGCCTCAGCCTTCCCAGTGCTAGAATTGTAAACATGGATTATCGTTCCCAGCCATGCCGCCATTTTAACTATTGATACCACTCACCTAAATTTATGTGATTGGACATTTCCACTGGAATCCATTTGTTTTCATTGGATGCCAAGATGTGTGTTCTGGAGATGTGATAGAAATATGGAGACCGGGGTCTAGAGAGGCATAGCCGTGAAAGGCGCTGGCCTGGAAGACAGCCCAACTTAGGTGCTCAGCACAGGTCGGGCAGCCCTCAGCACCTGTAACCCCAGCTCCAGCTGTTCCCCAACCTTTTGTCCTCAAAGGTACCCACAATAACATATGCATGCCCACACAGATACATACATATACCCATAATTTTAGAAGAAATCTTTGAAGAATTAAAGACTCCAGGAAACAGAAAGAACAATGGGTCTGGGGGAGGGCAGAGGAAGCTGACAGCCACAACTCGGAAGTCTGCCCTAGAACAGGCTGCGGCCATCTGTTCATAGAGAGAGTCACCTGGGGTCACCAGATCAATTCCCAGTCTTTAAAAAGAAGTTAAAGTCCAGAGACAGAGGTTCATCTCCCAGAAGTCACACAACTGTCTTGAAACAGGCCGGCCAAATCTGTTTTTGTCTCATGGATCGTTTATTTCTGTGTCCTTGAAATGCTAATGTAACCACCCATAAAATTGAAGTGAAAACCCTGTTAAAAATTGACTAAATGGGGGCTGGGGAGATGGCTCAGGGGTTAAGAACACTGACTGTTCTTCCAGAGGTCCCGAGTTCAATTCCCAGCAACCACATGGTGGCTCACAACCATCTGTAACAGGATCTGGTGCCCTCTACTGGCCTGCACTGTATACATGATAAATAAATAAAATATTTTTTAAAAATTGACTAAATGAGCTGGTGGTGGTGGTGGCAGGCGGCCAGCGGCACACACCTTTAATCCCAGCACTTGGCAGACAAAGGCAGATTGATAGATCTCTGTGAGTTTGAGACCAGGCTGGTCTACAGAGAGAGTTCCAAGACAGCCAGAGCTATTCTATAGAGAAACCCTGTCTTGACAAACAAAACAAAAACAAAGTGATCCCTAATGGCAGTAGCCTCTACTATTCCAGATGACATACTTGTTAATGGCCTTGTGCTTGGGCACATACTGGGCACAGTTTGTACAGCAAATTGCCTGCACATTGCCCCAAATGGCCTTTTAGATGCATCCATTGGGTTTTGTTGTTGGTTTTGGTTTTTTGGTTTCCGGCCCTTCGCTTACTTGAACACACTTAACACATAGTGATACTCAACATAGGAAATAAATTCTTAAATTAAGCTAACCATGTTGGTGAGCAGGAAATGTATTTGAAACTTCTATATAGTCATCAGCTCATTCAGTTTTGTTTTGTTTTCTCCATTAAAAGAGACGAGACGGAGAACTGGTTAAAATTGCCTGGGTGTCAACATGTTACAGGGACTGAATGCAAATTCTCTTTACTGAACACAAGTATGTATGTCAAAATGAAGTTTCGTGTAAGAGCCGAAACAGGAAAGATTGCTTCTTCATGGACTGAGGTTGACCCATTCATTCCATTTCTCAGAGGTAAGAGAATTGATGTCACCAGAGTTCTCTGTGTGACCCATTCATCTGTGTGGTGCCGCTCCCATGCCCTAAGGCCCTTTTTTCTGGCCTTCTGTATTAGTGGCTCTCCAAGTGTGGTTGCCAAGAGCCTTTAGTAGCCCCAGGAAGTCAAGGCTCTCCCTAGTAATTCAGAGACTTAATTGCCTCATTCATTTTGATAATCTCTGTAAACAAAGGAATTTTTGAAAGGACACTAGACCTGTGGTGTGAACTTACTGACTGCAGACATGGGGTCTGTCTGTGCTGGTTAGCCCACATATTAATGAGATTTTCTTAAAGTAGAACAATATCGTACCTTAAAATCTTGTTGTTTTGGGGGCTGGAGAGATGGCTCAGTGGTTAAGAGCACTGACTGTTCTTCCAGAGGTCCTGAGTTCAATTCCCAGCAACCACATGGTGGATCACAACCACCTTGAATGAGATCTGGTGCCCTCACAGGCAGAAGACTGTATACATAATAAATAAATAAATAAATAAAATCCAAAAAAAAAAATCTTGTTGTTTTGGAAATGTACTTCTTTTAAACAGTGTTTCTGATAGTTTTATCATCTTTGTGAATTCACATTTTATCTGTTGTTATGGTCAGTATGCTGAATGTCAAAGCACTTCTCCAGTACAGGTCTTGCACAGCTTCCATGATTTCCGTAGCAGTATAAAGAGATCTAGGACCAGAAGTCAAGGGACACTGTCCTGTCCCGGCCTTTGAAAGGCGTGGCCTGCACCCACTGTCCGTCATTTTACCCACCCAGTTCTCATAACTGTCCTTCACTTCTTCCTTCTCGAGTACCGTCACTTCTGCAGACGTCAGCCGCCACCTCTTGCTGCGTGTGCATTCCTGGTCCTCCGGCTCAGCACCTGACCACAGGGTGGACGTGGCTCCTCTCTCTAGAAGCTCTCCCTCCTCTCCTGCCTCACCAGGGCGCTGCTTGTTCCCGAGTCTCCTGATCACTGAGTTTTCCTCTTTCTGTTTCTTTTGTTCTCTTCTCCAGGAAATTTCAAGGTTGGGCTTCAACAGGTCCCAGGTGCAGTCATTAAACCTGCTTTGACCCCAGCCTTACATTCCCTGCCCCATCGTCCCCACCATCCCTATCCAGTGTCCACCTAGATGCTAAAACTATCTCGTAGTAAAAATGGTCAGGTGAAGCACCCAGTCTCCCTCACAGCCCTTCCTGCGGCCTCACCATCTCAGGAAATGACATCAGTGGGTAATTTGCTCAAGCTCAGACCCATTTCCTACATCTTGTACCTCAGCACATCCCTCTGACCACCCTGTGAGGGTGTCTGAGACGGTCCTCACCTTTCTGCCAAGGCCCTTGTCTTCTTCTCTTGCTGACCTCTCTCCTTCTCATCCTGTCTGTACCATCCCCCGCACTTTACACGTTTTTCTGCAGTGCGTACCTGCATGTCTTTGTTTGGGGGTTGTTCCTGCCACGTCCTCACAAAGTGTCAGACCCGTGAGGGCCTTCCTCTGTCTTACCACACCGGACAGACACTGTTTATTGTGAGCGTTTGGAATGGTGCTTCTGAAGTTACAGAACTGTTCTCTGATGTCAACAGCTCACATTGGCCCCCCAGGAGTACGTTTAGCAGCTGAAGATCAAGCTGTAATAGTCTACATCTCTCATCCCGGACAAGGTGGGAAGATGTGGTCAAGCGATATTCTTCGCTTCGAGTACAGGGTAGTAATCTGGCAGAAGTCTTCCAATGAGACAGTAAGTTTCTGTTTTCACCTGGGCTCCCTGTGAGAGAGAAGGTGGCGAGTGAATTCTAAAACTTGACTGTGTGTTTTTTATCTTTTTTGTAGCAGAGTATTACAACCACTTATTATACAGAAAAGATTTCAAAACTGTTGCCAGAGACTACTTACTGTTTAAAAGTTAAAGCAATACATTCGTCCCTCGGGAAACACAGCAATTATAGTGCAGTGCAATGTATAAACACCACAGGTAAGAAAGAACTCTGACTTTACATCAATAACTGACTATTGACAGCATTTAATTTGGGCATTTTCTCCTCTAATTGCTGAACCATTTTATATGATGGTTTAATAATTATTAAAGCATTAGTATGGATATGCCATTGAACACTTGTCTAGCACACCCACAAAAGGAAGGAAGCATAACAGTGCTTACAGAATCAAGTCATTTACTTTGTAATTTTTGTCCCAGTACTAATGAAAATCAATTCTGCTTGACAGTTAAAATGCTTTTTACTTGCCTGTCTTCCTCATGTAGCTGCTAGCACAATGGCCAGCACCCAAAGCATACCCCTGCAGAGCATACCCCTGCAGAGCATACCCCTGCAGAGCATACCCCTGCAGATGCGATGTCAAAGCTGAAAACAGCCTGCAATACTCAGTCACTGCCAACCTGGCTGATAGCTAAGGTTGGGGTAGGAGCTGCTTCCTGGTTTTAATAATAACTTTAGTGTGTTTGCCTCTTAAAATCAAACAAAATAAAGGTGCTTCTGTCCCACTGGTTTAAAATGTGTGCCTAATGGATTCTTTGGCTTCTAGAGGCCAGTAAGATGCCAGTGCCGGAAAACATAGAAGTGGATGCCCGTGGTGAGAGCTATGTTCTGAAATGGGACTGTGCGTCTACAGACGTGAGCTTCAGAGCGCAGTGGCTCCCGTGAGTTCCTTTCCCGAGTGTTCTTACTCAGTTACTTTGATGTGCACCCACGCTCCTTCTGGGTGTGACGTGTCACAGACAGTGACTGATAGGTGTGATGGTTGGGAAGCAGGGAATTTCACTGTAGGGAATAAGGTGGAGAGCAGAGCCCCTACCAGCCGGCCCTGGCCTCTGTACACTTCCCAGCTCTTACACAGTGGACACAGCACACTCATGCACATGCGCACACTCACTGGCTCACACACAAAGAAAGGAAAAGTAGTCACCCAGAAAGGTGGTTCCATTCAAAACCTGCCTTTCTGCTGCACACGGCCTGTGGCTGCATCAAGGGTTCATCTCAGAGGCCATGTCCACCAAGGAGGTGTTTCATTCATTCCATTAACTCAGAATGGCAGAGTGGGCCCTTAGCTAAATCTTCAAAAGCCCTCCTCCTGCCAGACTGTAACCTGACAGGAAAGCGAAGCAGCCACCATCTCTTCAGGTTTTGCCCACACTCTGTGGAGGGGTTGTAGACGTATGCAGCAGAAGGAAAGGCCCTATTTTAGTGTTGGCTGAATTTTGTGACAGAAATGTTCCCATCATGGCCACTTTGAGGCCACCGGTGTGAAATCTTTGAGTGTGGGCCTGGGAAGACTTGCAAGTACATGACGTGCTGTTAAGTAGTGTATTTGAGCATATGAGGCTAAAGTGGCTTCAAGAACACATAAAATATAACTAGGATTTCTCAGTTATGGTTACTGTGGTTGTGATGAGTTATGGTCACTGTGACCAAAAGCAATTTGAGGAAGAAAGGGTTTATTTGGCTTGCACTTTGTATCATAGTCCATCATTGAGCAAAGTCAGGGCAGGAGCCTGGAGTCGGGAGCTGATGCAGAGGCCGTGGAGGGGAACTGCTTACTGGCTTGCTCCTCAGGGCTTGCTTGCTTTCTTCCTTTCTTCCTTTCTTTCTTTCTTCCAATTTTATTTATTATGTATAGTGTTTTATATGCCTGCAGGCCAGAAGAGGGCACCAGATCTCATTACAGATGGTTGTGAGCCACCACGTTGTTGCTGGGAATTGAACTCAGGACCTTTGGAAGAATAGCCAGTGCTCTTAACCACTGAGCCATCTCTCCAGCCTCAGGGCTTTCTTATCAAACCCAGGACCACCAGCCAGGGGTGTCCATACCCACAATGTGCTGCCCCCTCCCATAGGTCAGGAATTAAGAAAATGCCCTACAAGCTTGTCTGCTGAGAGCGTAAATATTCCACAGGCATTTCCTGTCTCAGATGACTGTAGCTTGTATCAACTTCCCATAAAACTAGCCACACATAAGACAAAGTGCGTTCTTAATATTTTCAGTAAGTTTTTATTTCTGAATTTTATATCAGCCTTCTGTAAAGGGAGACTTTTCCATCAGTCCCCCATCTAGTCTAGGTCCTACTGGACCAGTTTCTCTCCACCTACAAGGTCCAAAGCCACTATGAAATAACTACCCAGAGACCTAATATATATTTGTAATTGTTTGGCCATTGGCTTAGGCTTCTTACTAGCTAGGTCTCTCTTAGTTATTAACCCATTTCTATTAATCTGTGTATCACCATGTGGCCTTGACTTACCTAGGTGATGCCCTGGCATCCTGCCTCCCCAGTGGCTCCTTCTGTCTGCCTCTTTGTTCGGAATTCCCACTTATCCATTGGCTGAAACAGCTTTATTTATCAACCAATAAGAAACACATAGTTATAGCATACAGGAAACATCCCCCATCAGCCTTCTAATAATAATTTGTTTATAAAACATGTACTTTGAAGAGATGGCTTAGCAGAGAAAGTGCTCACCATGCAAACATGAGCCAGAGCTGAGATCCTAGAACCAGGGAGATCCTACAGGTGTAATAGCACCTGTAGTCCCAACACCCGAGAGTCAGATGGGGCGCTCTGAGGCAAGCTGGCTGGCTAGCCTGGTCACGTCAGCAAGCTGCAAGTTGAGTGAGAGATCAGCTTAAGCCTACATAAACACACGCAAACACATTCACATACTCACACAGTGAGCATCAGGCTTGCTGTGTTACCAAGAAATTCAGGCACACTCTAGAGCATCCTCAACTCTCCCTTGTTGGGGGATCAGTGTCTCCTCCATTGTCCCACGAGTTTCCTAAGTGGGGAAACTGTCCCTGGGGCCACAGTGCTTATTGCAGTGTCTGACATATTATAAATCTCAGTACATATTTACTGAGTTCATGGTTGAATTTAACCTTTTATTTTGTCTGTTCTTTCAAAGTGGCTATTTTAAAAGTATTTCTGGAAGCTCTTCAAATGAATGGAAACCAATACCTACCTGTGCAGATGTCCAAACTACGCACTGTGTCTTTCCTAAAAACACCATCCACACGGGACTGTTCTTTCTCCGGGTACAAGCATTCAGTGGAAAAAGCACATCTTTTTGGTCTGAAGACAAATTGATTGATTCCCAAAAATACAGTAAGCCAAGTTTTCTTTGAGACGGTACCTGACACTGTAGCCCAGGCTGGCCTGGAACTCCCTGTGTAGCTCAGGCTGGCTTCAAACTCATGGCAGTTCTCCTGCCTGAGCTCCTGAGAGCTGAGGTTATGGGTGTGGTTCGTGCGTGCCTTGTGTCAGTGTTTTACGTGAGACTGTAATTTCCTCATTTAATTGAGGATTGTAAAGATTGTCTTAAGGAGTCTAATTCCATATTCTTTCTTTATGTGTCTCTCCCAGCTACCATTCCTCCTCCCGTCCTTGCTGTCACCCCTACTAGGGATTCATTGCTTGTCTATGTCAGCTGTCAAGACAATTCCAGCAGCAAGTGTCATGGGCTAACTTATGAAATCATCTTTTGGGAAAAGACTTCCAGTACTAAGGTAAGAAGCCTCCACAGTAACTTTGTGACTTGGCCTCACAACTGTGATTTGGGAAAGAAACAGCAGGGAGGGAGAGGGAGAGAATAAGAAATCCCACCTTTAAGGTTTGGGGAAAATCTTTTAAACACTGGACTGTGGCTGTGTGCAGTGGAGTGAATGTCAGCCTTTTCTGTGTCCATGACAATTACAGGTTGCCTGCATCTGGGCCCTACTTGGTTGTGTGTGTGAGTCCAGGCGTGTGCGCATGCTGTGTCTGTGTGTGTGTATGTGCGCTTGCATGTGTGTATAGCAGGCTTCCTTGGACCACCAGCCCCCAAATCACGACAGGGAGACTTATTAATTATGAATGCACAGCCTTAACTTAGGCTTGCTTCTTAACTTAAATTAACCCATTTCTATTCATCTGTCTGCGGCTCCAAGGCTCATCTGCCTCATCTGCACACTGTCCACCCTGCTTTCCTGCTTCCTCTGTGCCTGCCAGCCCTGCCTAGCCCTCCTCTGCCCACCTATTGACCGTTCAGCTTTTTATTAGACCAATCAGGTGCCCTAGACAGGCAAGGTGAGACAGGAACACATCTTTACATAGTTACACACATATGCTGTCCACAGCATGCGTGTCATCAATTGAATGCACATTGTGGGGCACACGTGGAGGTCTGGGGCAGACTGGGAGTGATAGCACCTTGCCCCTCCCAGGCACTGAGCTCAGGTGGTCAGGCTCTTCAGCAGGCACCTTTACCTACTGGGCCGTCTTGCCAACCTTCCAGTTTGCTTTTGAAATACATCCTGAGTCTGTTGCTGTGGAATTAGAACCATTTTTACCATGATTCCCAAGTACTCCTCTAATCTAAGGTTCCTTTGCAAGAATGCCATTTGAGCCAGGTAATTCCTTGTGGTGAAGCTGTCTTACTTTATTGGATATCTGACATCACTGGGCTCCATCGGGTGTCTGTAACGCTCCCTCAGAGGTGTGTCAACCACAAGTATCTTCAGATGTTGTCATATGCCCTCAGCTGGTGGCTCAATAGGGACAGAGCCCTGGGTGTGATGAATTTTGTGGATTCCAGAGGAGAAGAAGCCTCCAGCATTCGGCTTAACCTATGGTGGGAGAACCAGCTAAAACGTCTCCTCATGGAGTAGTAATGAGAAGGGTCAAGGGTTGCTCTGAATCAGCAATGACATACCATACCACGAACCCTGTGGGACATCAGTCAAGGAATCAAGCATAAAATCTGGTTCAAGTGACATAGCAAACACTGTCTCTTCATGGAAATTTAAACAAATCGAACAGGGCTGTCTGCCTACACTACTGTAGCACCATTTAACTCATTGAGAATTATCCTTGACATTCACTGGGCATGAGGTCAGACAAGCTGATTCTATGGCCCACGCTACAAACTTTATCCTGACCTTTGGTGTTGGTATAGTCTTCTGTAAAGCAGTGGTAGCCCTAGCAACTTGGCTTTATGGGTGTTCATCAGATTTGAAATGAGGTGACATGAAAATACCTGGCACAGACTCAGTACATCTTAGTGACTGTGCTGTCCCTTGAAATCCTGGCAGCAACTCGTATCCTGACTTGTGCTAAGGTTTTTACATGACCTGGCCTGTCTCTCTTCAAAAAGACAGTGTTTGCAGTTAATTTGTGCAGCAGACATGGATGAGTGTTGCTCACTTTCTCACTGATGGGAACAGAAGCCCAAGTGTGCCTGGTGGCATGGTCTGGCCTTTGTGCTTCACCAGGGATATACATGTCACCTAGTCTCTGAGACACAGAGGATGAGATGGTAGACCAGGCCTTAGAGGGAACTACCCAGCCAGTTTGTGACCTGGTGAGAAAACCATTGGAGTTGAAATGGCTTTGTTACACAGCTCTGTTGTAGCATTGGAAAATGAGGGATCAATGAGGTGACTCGTGGCAGCAGCAGAGCGAGGCTGGAACCCTTACTCTTAACTGTCCCCACCATTGTGCTAAGTGACAGTCAGATTGAGAATGCCCTGAGGGAGGCATTATAGGGAACAGATTTTTAACTCTGATTTGGTTCTAATGGGTTAATTAAAACAAGTTTATACTGCTTAGACACATACTAACTAGATTTTTGGAAGACACCAATCAGTAATAGAAAAAGAATCCAGCTGGGCGGTGGTGGCACACACCTTTAATTCCAGCACTCGGGAGGCAGAGGCAGGCGGATCTCTGTGAGTTCGAGACCAGCCTGGTCTACAAGAGCTAGTTCCAGGACGGCCTCCAAAGCCACAGAGAAACCCTGTCTCGGGGGAGAAAGAAAAAAAAAAGGAATCCAGAAAATACCTATTCTCTATCTGATTTTCTGAGGTGACTGGATTTTATCACGGTTTTATTATTTTTATAGAGAAATATGGTGAAGGAAAGCCCAGAGTTTACCATTGAGAACCTGCAACCACAGACTGTGTATTGTGTACAAGCCAGAGTTCTCTTGTTTGCCACGTGGAACAGAAGCAGCAGCTTCACTGATGTGCTGTGTGAGAAAACAAGGCCAGGTGAGAGCTTCTGGACAGATTTAATGGAGCAGGAGGTGATAGAAGCACTGCATTGGGATTGGTGAAGAATTTCTTTGCTTCAAATGGTGGAACACGTCCTTCCTGAACCACAGGCATCAAGAGCAAACCCAGCCGAGTCCTGCAGGCCAGGGAACACACCTCTGCTCAATTCAGTCCATGCTCCCATTGCTGCTCTTCCCCCGGGGCTCACATTAATTGCAAACAACCGGATTGCTCGTTTGTCCTTTTCTGGTTCTGAGTGACCTTGTGGAAATGGACATTTGTTGTGAGGGTTGTGATGAGCCAGTGCTGTAGTCTCCTTTGTGTTTTTTTTTCCTGGAGGCGAATGGCTTAGCCATGGAAGGCTCTGAAGATTTTTTGGGTTCCGAGCTGTGCAGGTGCTGGGACACCAGCTGAGGGACCTCTCTGTTCATACAGCTCTCCCCTTGAGCCCAGGCTCAGTTCAGGTGTGGTGTCACTGCCCTCGGCGGTGAGTTAAGTGCCACCCAGGAGGGTTCTCAGGATACCATTCCTCCCTGTGGCTGCTCTCACAAGAGTGTGCTAACGCTTGTGTTGTGTTTTAGGACATTCTTCTTCCATGATCTGGATCATAACTGGATTTGGCACTCTGTTTTTTTCTGTCTTCATCCTTTATGCCGGAAAGAACTTCCTGAAATACCTCAATTATGTGTTCTTTTCATCGCCCAAGCCTCCCGCCAGTATTGACGAGGTACGTTCTTTCTTGTCACCAGCTAGGAAGCGGGGAGCAAGTGTTCAGATTCAACAGATGATCTGTGCTTTCTTGATGTCCAGGAAGTAACCTGGGTGGCTGTGGTGGTGCATGCCTGTGGAACTTAGGAAACTGAGACAGGATTGCAGTGAGTTTGAGGCCAGTGTGAGCTGAGTAGTCAGGTCCTATCTCCAAAAACAAGATAGAAGGTTTTCAGAAGCTCCAGGCCAGCCAGGGCTGTAGAGAAACCTGTCACAAACCAGGGTGGTGGCACCCTCCTTTAATCTCAGCACTTCGGGGTCAGGCAGGGCTATACAGTAAAACTCGGTCTCAAAAAACAGATGAAAATTTTCAGACAATGGCTTAATGCATAACAGCTGTCCTGTTTAGCAATGATCTACAGAAGCTGTATTTTGGTTCCAAGTGAGTGCATGTAGGTGTGTAACAACACACTTGAAAGTGGACAGCACTGATGTTATCCCTAAGAAATGACCAGAGAAACGCTGCCCCGATAGTTCCGAGTCCAGAGGCAGAGCCTGGGGCAGGCCGTTTTCTCCATGAGTGATGCTGCCGACTTCCTATTCCCAGAACAGGCACTTGATGCCCGGGGATAAACACTAGTGACCTTCTCCTGTGGCCTTGTCACGGGGTGATGGGGGCTAGCATGCTCCAGGATCAGTCTTGGAGGACACTGGAGGTGAGCATGCGTGAGTCTGAGACAAGGGGCTTCCTCATTGCCATCATCTGCCCTCAACGGCACCTGACCGTTTGCGAGTGAAACACAGGCTGTGGTGGGAGGAACAGCTTGCTCTGGCCTCGCGTGGTGTTTGTCTTGGCATTCACTATCTGTGTGGTTTTTCACACCACACCAGAAACACTGCCACCCTATTCTCCATCTGACTTCACTAGTTCCCTGGGTGAAGTCACAGAACCGTGAGTTTCTTTCAGGACTCCTATGAGGTCAGCACTGAATGGGGAAGGGCTGGTCCTAGAACCTGCGACTCGGGCAATCTGTTTCCCCCGGGGAAGGCTCAGGCTGGCCTTGAGAAACAGTGCAGCCAAGAGTCAGGCTTTGGATGAAGGGGCTCCAGGGGAGCGTTGGTGGCCTTGCTGCTGTGTGAAACCGAGCAACTTCTGTTAGAGAAGCAGAGTCCTAAGGAACAAGGGACCTGAGCTGTGAGGGCCCGATGCCCTCAGCTCAGCATTCTCTGCTGGAGTCCCCAGCTCGCCAGTGTGCTTGGGCAGTGACAGTCGTGATGTAAAACTGGCTCCTGACCAGCTCGACTGCAGGGAGACGTTTGTCTCTCACTTGTCACTGGTGAGCTAGGTATGGTCACTTGAGAATGTCCTTGATCCCAGGGCCTCCACCCCAGCCTCAACAGCGCACAGTGTCTATCTAAGCATTCTTCACAGCCTTACCCAAAAAAGGCCTTCAGTCTGGTGGCCTCACTCACCTTCTGAGCCTTGACCGCGCATTGCTGAGTTTGTCTCATCTGTTAGATTGCACACGCCAAAAGACAGGTCTGCTAATGTTAGACATAAGAAAGCAGAGAAGCTAAACAACCTGTGTTCCTTTCCTTTTTACCATTAGTTTTTCTCTGAGCCGCCTTCAAAGAACCTTCTGTTTTTGACTCCTGAGGAACACACTGAGAGATGCTTCATCATTGAAAACACAGACACTGTTGCTGTAACAGAAGAAAATCACACTCCCGAGGAAGAACACAGAAAGTACACTTCGCAGACCAGCCAGGACTCGGGGAACTATTCTAATGAAGAGGAAAATACCACCGGGAGCGAAAGCAGCCAAGGGCTTAGGCTGTAGGACTGCATCTGCACACGGTGGGCTCTTCTAGAGTTCCATGTCGGAGTCCAGGGAGCACGTCTTGCCCTCCTGGGACCTGTGAGAGGGGTCCGCTTCTTGGGAAAGCAGAAGCATCTTCAAAGCCCAGTCCTGCAGGCACAGCAGCTCTCCAGCCCTGACTCGGACGGCCATAGTCGGGCACAATGTGCACTCCTCTGTGATGAGGAAGGCTTAATGGAAGGTGGCTGCCTGATTCTGCTGGCAGCTGAAGTCTCCAGTGCTGTCTCGGGCCACAGGTGTGTCCCTGCTGCACATGGCCTCTGGTCTTCTCTCTCGGTGTTCATATTCTAGGAGATATCCAGAACATACATTTGGCTTTTTAATACTGCCATGCCCTAAGGTGCCTCAGAGGTACTGTTGTCTACACTAGCACTTCCTAACACCTGGCTTTCCACAGCAGTGCCTTCTGCCTAGAACTCAGAAGTCACTGAAGCCGTGGAGAAAGGGGACTCTTCGTGAGTCGAGAGTAGCTGCCCTTACAGTGTAAGATCTCAGTGCGGCCTGGGTAAGCACGTTGCACTCTAGTGCTTGTAGGACAAGACAGACGTGGAATCAGTCATTCAGTGAGGAAGACGAACCGTGTACAGTCTGCCTTTTTATTAACACCCAATGCTGGTGTCTATGGCTCTTGTGTGTTATTTTATAACACCAGGCTGACCGCTCCTCTCCAGCAGTATTCGGAGCCCTTTCAGCACCCATGTGCTTACAGTGTCAGCTGCTAGGGTGAAGGAAGGATTTTGATTGTGTGGTGCTGTCTGCGGGTGCCTGTAACAAACCTGAAATGGATGCCCATGGGTGTCTTTCGTAGGCAGACATCTGGCAACCCCAGTGGCTCCAGGTTGACTGTCAGTCCAGGTGTGGCAGGACCCAGCTGGGTGGTGGCGCCCTCCTTTAGTCCCAGCACTTGGGAGACGGAGGCAGGCAGAACGGGTGAGAATGGTGGGCACAGCCTCACCCCGGTGTCCTCTGTACTGTGCTGCTTTAACCACCCAGGCCAGCCCCGCCCATCCTGTGTTCCCCACGGAAGAGCTCCTTCTGACAGGACAGCCTACAGAGAAGCAAGGCCTGTCAGGAGGTGGGGAAGTGAAGGCCAGGACATGAACATGAAGTGTTCCATCCCTTACAAGTACAAACACGGGTCTTCAGGATGAGACCTCAGAACAAGTCCTCGGTGGCTGCAGCAGGTGGGGAGGGGACTTCCCTTGCCTATTAAACCAACCACAAAGGCAGTCCCACCCCATGCCTCTTGGTGCCTACTACAAACAGGCTGCCTGCTAAGATGACAGGGTTGTCCTTAGGAATGCCATGCACCCCAGCACCCACATGGTGGGCTCACAAATAGCTGTCACTTAACTTTAGACGATGCAGCTTGGGCTCCTGGTTGCACCAGGCATGAGCAAGGTGTACTCACATGTAGGCAAGACACCCATACACATAAAAGTAAAACCTTTAAACAATTACAGATCTAAAAAGAAATAGCATGCACCTGAGGGCGGGCAGACTGAGAATCATCGGCAGTTCCTGGAGGAGCTCAGTGCCGTCTAAGATGAACGTGGACGTGGTCTCAGTAACGTGTGTGCAGATGTAAACAGTGACAGGCCCATGGACTCATCTACACGCACCCACACAGGTGACCTGGCTACATTCCGTTAGTATTGCCTAGAGCCCCTGTTAGCGGTTGACTCTAAAATAGAGCAGCTGCTCCAGACCAGAATCAAAGAAATCTGTAACCTATAAAAAGGTTCATGTGACAAATAGCCAAGGAACAGCGGTGCCTGCTGTGTTCCCTTCCCTGAGCAGCACAGCAGGGGCCCATTGTATGAGCATGTGTATAAAGAACAGAGCCTGGCAGACAGCTTTGTATTTCTCTTTGGGGCGGTGTCACCAAAGCCTTCCCCACCCCTGCTGTAGCCTTGTGTCCCTGGCGAGCACTGTTCCTGTTCCTTTGGAGTCCGTTTTCCTCTAGTGCAGAAGCTTCCAGCTGGGACTGAGTTCCTCACTGTGCCCCAGCCCGGTGCTAGTGCAGCGCTCAGCACAGAGGGCGCTCGGCACAGGCAGCGCTCAGGAGCCACCGAATAAGTGAGATCTGCAGTCGAAGCCGGTGTAGGTGCTAGTTGGTTTCGGAGGGAAATAACCATGTTTTTATGTTTGTATGCACCAAGTTTGTATCTTGCCCTTTTGTGGGCCTGAGGCTCACTGCTGTAAAAACAATTTTACTTAATAAACGCTGGAGCTGCCGGGCGGGCGTTGGTGGTGCACACCTTTAATCCCAGCACTCGGGAGGCAGAGGAGGCGGGTCTCCAGAGCAAGTGCCAACATAGGCTCCAAAGCTACACAGAGAAACCCTGTCTCGAAAAACCAAAATAAATAAATAAACGCTGGAGCCAAAAGTCTGGGTTTTGGATGGTGCTACTTTGAGCTTGGATTCTGTGTGCCAGCGGGGTGCTGAGACAGTGCCTTTCAGAGCCACTCACAACAGCAGGACACTGATGCCCTGTGGCCACCATCCCACAGGTGGCTGGTGAGGTGATTGTGTAGGACTGCTGACTCTGGCTTTCTGGATCCAAACTGCTGCCCTTACAAGTGTTTGTCACTCTTCCATCTCACGTGTACTGACACCCGGGAGACTTGGGTGAACACAGCGTGTATTTGTTGGGTTCCTTCCTCACAGTGGAGGAAATAATAAATCCATCTTTCTTCCTAAGAAGTGCCCTGTTAGTTGGTGACAGTGACAGGTCCCAGTTGCATTCAGGCTTTGCTTTGCTATGCTCCTGTCTCAGTTCCCAAGTGCTCTTCTAGGTGAACATGAAGAGAAATGTCACCGCCCAACGTCGGGCGCCAACAACAGACCAAAGAGTGTACCACCTAAGTCAGTGGTTCTCAACCTTTGGGTCTTGATCCCTTTGGGAGTCAAATAACACTTTCAAGGATGTCACATATCAGGTACCCTGCATATCAGATGTTTATGTTTATTCATAACATAGCAGATTTACAGTTATGATGTAGCAATGAAATAATCTTATGGTTGGAGGTCACTACAACATGAGGAACTGTATTAAAGGGTCACAGCATCAGGAAGGTTGAGAACCACTGACCTGAGTCTAGCTTGCTGAGCCAGTGAGTTTATTCCGGTTTCTCACCCAAGCTCAGATGAGGACTTAAAAGCTGCATGTCCGAGCCCCCTGTCCCATTTGCAGGCACGTCTGCTAGGGTGCCCCTCTTCTAAGCAACTGTTCCCTGCCTTCTTCACCTCAGCCAGGGTTCTATGATCACACGACGCCTTGGAAGCTTCCCTTCTCTTTCCAGGAGGAAAATTCACTACATTCCAAACTCACCCTGGGCAGTGATGGGGCACGGCTTTAATCCCAGCACTCAGGAGGCAGACTGGGGTGGGTCTCTTGAATTCCAGGCCAGCCTGGTCTACACAGAAAAACTGCATCTTGTGGGTGGGGTTGGCCCCCCAATGTCTCTGTGTCTGTCTCCCCGCTCCGTGTCCATCTGTCGGTGCTGCATACAAGTACGAGGGAGCACACACCATGCGTGTGTCACAGGTGTTCATACCCGTGTCCTAGTGTGAGGGACTGACTGGGACCTGAGACAGGTCCCTCACTGCAGAGGAAGCTCAGGGCTCTGGCTGGGGTGGTTGACCAGCAAGCTCTGGAGATCTGCCTGTCTGCCCCAATGGTAGGAGCGAGCACACACAGTGAAGCCTGGCGTTTCTGTTAGGTGCTGGTGTCGGTTTTCAGTTCCTCGAGCTTGCCGAGGAGTCCCCCCAGCTCTTCGTGGGGCTTAGGGTGATCACAGTTACCAGTCTTGAGGGCCGCGTCAATCCATGTGCGTTTGGGTGATGGAGTGGTTATTTTAACAGGATAACAGTCTCTCATTCTCTATCTGAGAAAACATGCAAGAAGCTGTGCCTTGAATGTCCCCGCTGTGTCTGACCCGCCCGGCCCCCTCAGCCCATGTCTGCAGAAGACATTCTACCAAGAGCCAACCGTGAGAACCAAGAAAGGGAATGGCAGGAGGGCTTCTGGTGGGGAAGGGTACATTTCGGGGAGGAGGGAAATGGAAAACACCACCCTGTGGCTGCTTGAAGTTAATCATTACTTATAATGAACACACACACACACCTAGGTTTTCTGGATCCATCGTGGGAGAGAGGTCCGTTGTGTCCCTGAAGATGGGCCCCTAGTCATGCAAGACGACGTTTTGTTGACATTGCACCCACCTCCCCAGTTTCCTACTGGGTTTTAGTTTTCTAGGATCTGACTTAACGCAGAGACAGTGATGGCGTTGGAGTGTGCAGTGCCATACACTCGCTGGGAAATCTTAGGACCTGCACCACGTTCTCAGGGTGAAGTCAGCTTCGCACCCGTGTGACATGCAGCTCTGTGTAGCGTGCTTCCTGGAACGTCTCCTTCCAAAGTGGACCCCGAAAATCAAGATCCTTTTCTTCTTTGTTTCACTGCTACTGTTGGAGACTTCAATGCTGACATCTGGGGAGTGTTAGTTAATGTATGGTCATGGAAAGCGCATGCGCTGACGGGATTCGCCACTAGAGGGAGACATGTCTCCCTATTTGGGCTCAACTGGCTGCTGTTTAAGAAAGAGGTTGTTTATCCTTTGTTTGCTGTGTGTCTTTCATTCTCTTTCTTTCTTTTCTTTCTTATCCTTCTTATCGTGCTTATTTTTTGAGACAGAGCTTTTTTCTGTAGCCCTGGCTGTTCCAGAACTCCTTCTGTAGACCAGGCTGGCCTCAAACTCAGAGATCCACCTTCCTCTGCCTCCTGAGTGCTGAGACTAAAGGTGTGTGCCACCATTGCCTGGTATGTGCTTGTTTCTTTGGTGAAATAAGGTCTCACTGTACAGCCCTGGCTGGCCAAGAATTGAGTATGTGGACCATGCTGGCCTGGAACTCAGAGAGCGTCCTAACCCTGAGTGCTAGGATTAAAGGCGTGCACCACCAAGCCTCGCTTAAGGAAATGTCATGGTGGAAGGCAGAAGTATGCACCATGCAAAGTTGCCAGACGTAGTAAATAAAAATAGAACCCCTGAAAAGGAACACAAACTGTACACAAGATATGGTTATTGATGGTGTATTATAAATGACAACAATGAGAACAGCTCACACGGGCACTCCAAGCCCCCAAGATCCCAGATGCCTCCAAGACCAGGCCTGAACCCCGAGAGAGAGAGAGAGAGAGAGAGAGAGAGAGAGAGAGAGAGAGAGAGAGCGAGAGAGAGACGAGCACCTCCTGTCCTCTATCCTACCCCTCTACTTACCTGTGACCACGCCCAAGTGGGTATGGTCAGCGGTACAGGTATCCAGGGTCTCTCCCTACAAACACCCACGCAATTGAATTACTTTTTAAAGTTCATGTAAGTTTAGCCTGAGTATGGGTGGGCTAGCCTTACCCTCAGCTTTCAATACCCAGCATTTCAGCTAAAGTTGGGACTTCTTGTATAAAAAGCACCATTCTCTCTTTGAAATTGGACTCTGCCACATAAACGCAGACAAATTCCCGTGTTACATCTGCAGTTTCAAATAATCTTTTGATGTAAACTTGTCCACATAGTATTTGATTCATCTCTCAACCCTGGTGGAAAATGTGGGCATAACTTTTGTCTGATATTTGGTTTTGATGTTGGTGTGCTGCCTTCGGTTATTGTTTGCATTATGTATTCTATCATCTAGGCTGGGTGTGTTTTAGCATGCATCAATTATAATGGGTTTCATTATGATACTTTTTCTTGTTTGTTTAGACAGGGTCTCCTGTGGCTAAGGGTGACCTTCTCGTCCTCCTGCCTGTACCTTCCAGTGTTGGGATTATAAGCACATGCCATCAGGCCCAGTTTAGGTGATGCTGAGTATCAAACCAGCACTCGGTACATGCTAGGTACATGCTATGCCTCAACCAGCCCCTAGTGATATTTTCATGCATGACTATAACATATCTCGATAATACTCACTTAGGGGAGCACTTTTACATTTCCTTGCTATTTTTATGTGTGTCTGAGCATGCCTGCATGAGTTTAGGTGCAACACATGCAAGCTGGAGCCTGAGGCACTGGGCCCCTGGAACTGGAATTTCAGATGGTTGTGAAGCACCACGGGGGTACTGGGAATCGAACCCCAGTCCTCTGGAAGATCGGCAATGCTCCACCTAAGGTGTGCATTTTTTTTTAAGATTTTTATTTATTTATTATGTATACAACATTCTGCTTCCATGTATATCTGCACACCAGAAGAGGGCACCAGATCTCATAATGGATGGTTGTGAGCCACCATGTGGTTGCTGGGAATTGAACTCAGGACCTCTGGAAGAGCAGTCAGCGCTCTTAACCTCTGAGCCATCTCTCCAGTCCCAAGGTGTGCATTTTTACAAAGCTTCTCAGTTGATTCTGAAGTGAAGTCGGGGTTAAGAACCCCAGAACAAGCCCTCAAGCTGGGGAACAAGAAAGACCCTGGCATCCCATGTGTTTAATACACTGTTCCTTAGACTTGAAAAATGTTTGGGCCCCTTGAAAGAAAAAAGCTGCTTGGGTAACTGTCGTGGCCCAGCATGTCTCAGTCCCAAACCATGGAAGCCACGAGGTTTGGCCTGAGTTGGGGAGCATGGACTTGGAAACTCCTAGCAACCCAACGGTGATAAAGACCAGACACAGGCATCTTGTCATCTTTAGAGAGCTCTCGGTTCCATGCTGCAAAACTGGAGTCTCTCCTTTACTCAGCATCTTCCTGGCTGTAATCTAACCGTTCTTCCCTGACCCTGACACCATTTCTGTCCCATCTCCCTAGACCCTGTCAGCAGATCTCTCAACCGCCTCTCCTCCTGTAAACCTCTCCCCAGAAACCTCCGAACCCTAGGTCCTCACTCACGTACACCTAGCCCTCCGCCCTGGTGAGGCCTAGTCAAATGCTTAGTTCTGTAGAGATGCACATTCTCCACTGAGGCTCTGCCATTGCACAGAAATCAGCTAGCATCTGCACTACAATGCAGACAGGAGCTCCAGTGGTTAGGACCCCGAGAAATTCTCTAATGGAATCAGTTCTTGGTTCTCGACAGTTAACTTTATTTTCCCAGAGGTGGCAAATGACTTATAACATATGTTCTTTCATAAATAAATAAGAATTTCTATTTATTTTTATGTGCATTGGTGTTTTGCCTGCATGTATGTCTTTGTAAGGGTACCAGAGCCCCTGGAACTGGAGTTACAGTTGTGAGCTGCCTGCTGGGTTCTGGGA